TCTCTCTCTCTCACACACACACACACACACACACACACACACAGAGCTAGACACAGAAGCCTTAGCGACAGCACGTAGCAACACAATGTCCCCAGTATATTTATCCAGTCTCATCCGGGTCACTTGGTCTGTCCCTCTGGGCTCCTTTACCAAGCCCACAGTGAGTCCAGTTAACAGCAGCATCCATCAGTGTTCCATCAGACCCGGCTAAGTGCTTTCAACATATCAGTCTCTTTTGTCCTCACCACAATTCCAGCGCCCCATACAAGCAAGGCCAAGGATCCAGAGAGATAAGTAAGTACCCAGCTGACAAATATTCATCTTGGGAACCCTCATTAACATGACGATTCACGCTGCCGCCCAAAGGGGGCAGCCTCCTAGGTCTCCCCTCCTGGAACGATCTGGCTTGGAAGGACACGGGGTGGGCAGGAAGGACAAACCCTGGGAACAGCCTGATTGTGGGGCTGGGACCCAGGGGGAGCCCAGCTGGAACCAGGAACTCAGAGAGAGAGTGGACTTGGAATGGGGAGGCCAGCTCCCGAGGTCTTCGGACTTCGCATACCCTTGAGGGGAGGACACTGGCCCGTGCTGGGCTTGTGTGTGTGAGAAAGCTAGGAACCCAGCGGAGACAGCACATCTGAAGGCTCTCTCTGGCCAGGGAGGCGGCCATTGTTCCCGGCCTCCAATCAGGAGCACCCACTTCCTGTTATTTTAGGCAGCAGGAAATGACCCCATCCCGGTGGCCTAATAGTGAGGGCAGAGATCCCAGCCCAAGGCCACTGGCTGAACTGTCACCATTGCCTGTGTCCTGGCCTCCTCAACAGATTTAGACTCCAGAAGGGCAGGAAGCACAGAGGACCCTGGGTTGGGGCCTGCCTCCCTCTGCCTGCTGGACGCGTTCAACCAGACGGCTGGCACACAGGCTGGAGAGTCTGTGGGATGTGGGCCAGAGAGTATGGGGCCAAAGGTGCTTGCACTACATATAGCTGACGTGGTTCGATCCCCAGTGCCCCCTACGGACCACCAGGGACCATTCCTGGACACAGAGTCAGGAGCTGCAGCCTCTAAGCACCACCAGGTGTGCCCCAAGAACCAAAAGGGAAAGAAACATAGTCCGACGGACGTGGGTTCAAAGTTGGCAGGTCCGGCTGGATGTGACTAAGGCAAGTGACTTCCCTCTTCGAGTCGCCTCTGCGAAATGAGAATACTGCCACCGCCAGCTCAAGATACATTGGGAGGACCAAAGGAGACAAGGCAAGGGACGTACAAAGCGTCATGCCTGGCACAGAGGGTCCTTACCAACTAGGGGTCGAGACACGTTGCTCCGTTGAGGTGTCTTTTCCAGGCCCCCATCTCATAAAACAGGGGGCTAGCGCACCTGTGTTCTCTCATCCCTCCCAAGTTCGCTGCTCCTCGGCCAGGCCAGAGCTGCAGCTGAGGGTGACGAAGAGCTGCTGAAGGCTGTGCCCTGGAGTGCCAGGCAGAGCTGCCTCGGCCCACAAAGCTGCATTATCTGGGCCTGGCTCCTTGGCCACTCGCTGGCACCAAGGCCAGCGGGGACCCGAGGACATGATTCCCAGCTGCCAGCAACCTCTCTTGCAGTCTCAGTCAGGCCTGAGATCCGCCTCCAGTGCAACCTTCTAATTTCACTCCTGCTTTCTGCTCCCACTGTCCCCCTTTAGCCCTGCCCCACCAACCACTGACGCCCACCCTGAAGGCGGGGAGGTGAACTCACCTCATGTCGTGCCCTTTCCTCACATGCAGACGTGTGACTGCACACTGGGACTCCGGAGTAACTGCAGTGCTAGCCCACCAGCCCAAGGAAGGTGAGAAACCAGTATACGAGTTGCCAGCAGATATGGCCCCTCGTGCTAGTCTCAGCAATGCTCCTGATCCTCAGGTCCACCCCAAAGTCTCTTCTGGGAAACCATCCATCGGCAGAGACCAGGTGCACACGATTCCCCTGTACCTGGGGTCCCTCCCTGTGTGAATCCATCTGTTGTCCCCACTGCACCAGGAGCTCCCCCAAGGGTGACTACTCCGATTCCCTTCCCTGCCATCTGCACAAATTGGCACAAATCAGCATGGCTGGCTGCACCCATCTCCTAACCCCCAGGGACACCCAAGTGGAGTCTGTCTAGTCCCCTCCCCCATATGCTATCCCATGGTGACCTCCGGAAGTTCTAATTAATCACACCTCCTCCGCAGGTCTCCAAAGGCATTAAAAGTAATAATAACAAACAAAGAGTTGGCGTTTATGGACCACTAACTATGGTCCAAGGCCTCAGCCAAATGTTTTGTGTTCATCTAGATCATCCTGAGGGTCTCTCTGAGATCATTTCTAGCAGTATTCTCACTTTAGAGATGAGAAATCTTTTGTTCGTTTGTTTGGGGGCCACACTGAAAATGTTCAGGGTTACTCCTAGCTCTGCATTCAGGAATCACTACTGGAGGTGTTCAGGGGACCATGTGGGAATGTCGGAGATCGAGCCTGGGTTGGCTGTGTGCAAGGTCAGCACCCTACCCATGGACTATATCCCCACCTCCCTAGAGATGGGAAATCTTAAGGCTCAAGTCATGAAGCGGAGACTCGGGCCGATTCCAGAGACCTCACCCCCAAGCAGGCCGACTCCCAGTTCCTGCCCTATCTCCTTCCTACCCCATCCCTCCGTGCTGGCTCCAGCTGCGGTGAACATAACCACAGCAGGATAATAACACTGCACTGTGGGTGTCTGAGCTCCAGGTTCCTTTCGGTGCATCATCTCCAACCCTGCCATCAAACCCCAGGAGCTTGATAACACTATCTGCATTTCCCAGCACAGAAACCATGGCTAGAGGACGCCGGTCACTTGTTCCTGTCCACACTTGTCCCCTGCTCCACGCTGACTCCTGCTACTGCTCAGTGTGCAAAGGGAACTCGTGGTGTCCTGTCACATGCTTAGAGCCTCAGACCCAAGTCTCGGACTCACAAAGGGCTCCGGTGGGAAGCACCCCCTCCATCCCCAGGAAGCCCTTGGCACAGGGGCCCCTCACAGAGAGCCGCTGGCACCTCACCTTCCCTGTGTGGGCCCAGATATGATTCCGACCCAGGTTCTCATATGACTCCATGGAGGCCTGTGTGCCGAGATGCGCCTTCCCAGTCCTGGGCCCTGTTTGCACCCCCTGCCCCCTCCAGGAAAGCCAAGCTACCCACTCCTGTCCTCAGATGCAATCCAGGCATCCCACTCAAGTTCCCTAATTATAACCAGCCACCCACTCCGGCCCTCCACCGCGGCCCAGTTATCACCGGCTTCGGGTCCCCATGTGCACAGCAGCCTGGCGGCCCCGGGGTGCAAAGGGCTGGGATGCAGGTGGAACTCACCTGCTCACTCAGGACAGGCCCCCGGGTGAGCTTCGGGTGCAGCAGAACTGAGCAGACCGGACCCAAGGTCCATTCCTCCAGGGCCATGGAAGCCCGTCAAGCACTTGCCTTACAAGTCTGAGGCCCTGGATGCAATCTCCGGCCCCACGAAACCACCAGCCAGGACCAGACCAAAATGGCCCCTCCAAGCACCCACGCTGGCATGGGGAGGAGCCCACCCACAGTCTGGCGGCTCCACCTCGTCTGGGGCTCTCCGCACCCACAGACACGGTTTCATCCAAGGGCCCACACCCCAGGGGAGAGGGAGGGACTCCGTGGAGGTGTGGGGATGGGGCTCCCACCCCCTGAGTCAGGAGGAAGCCTGGGCCCTTCGTAATCAAGGCTGCACTGGCCCCTTCCGGGAAGAAAGAAAGCGAGAAACACTAAGCAACCTCCAACACCAACCAGAAACTTCTCCCCACCCCCACCCCCATCAGCTGCTCAAATCCCAGCGAGATTTGCAGAAGTCGGGGACAGGGGCTGAGGGAGAGTGGGGGAAGGGGAGGAGATGGTCGATGATCTGGGGCCTGGAGAGAGGGTGAGAGAGAAAAGAGGAAGAGAGAAAGAGTGGGGAGAGAAAGAGTGTGTGTAAGGGGGCCGCATTCACTGAGCCGGCCCCCCCACCCCCCGCCCCCCGGAATGATGTGGCAGGCCCCGGGAGTGCGGCCTTTGGGCCCGCACCCCACTCTCCAGGGAGAGCCTCGGGCCCAGAGAGTCTGGAAAGGGGGCCGTGGGGAGACCGTTTTCGTTCCCCTCAAAGCGGGCTGGGTGGGCTTGGGAGCAGGCCGGGCTGCAGGGGAGCGGCCCGCGGCCTCGCTCCCGCCCTGGCCCCAAACAATGCCGCCTCCCCCTCCCCCTCCCGCTCGCCTCTCGGCGGGTTACTTGGCAGCCGCCGCTAGAGACCTCCTCCTCCTCCTCCTCCTCCTCCTCCTCCTCCTCTTTAACCTCCTCCTCTTCAACCTCCTCCTCCTCCTCCTCCTCCTCCTCCTCCTCCTCCTCCACCACCACCACCCCACCCCACCCCCCGCGGGTCGCCGCAGCAACAGGCCCTTTGAGCGGCAGCTGGAGGGATGGGGCGGGGGGGGGGGGGCGAGGTCTGGGCCGGGGCCTGGGAGTGGTGGGGGCGCCAGGGCCTAGGCTGCGGCATGCGGGGCTCCGAGGCCTCAGAATCTGGACACCCCACAACACACATCCAGGCCGGGTCACACGTGCCCACCGAGGGCTGCGGCCGGGGGCCGAGAGCCGGGTCGGGACAGGCGCCCTAGCTCAGCAGATGCGGATCTTCGGGGCCCGCCCGGGGTGAATCGGGAAGTGGGGACCGGCCGGGGACGCCGAGGTTGACCTAGGCGGGAGCGGAACGGTGACCCCCAACTCGGGCGCCGGGTCCCCGCAGATCCCGCCTCTCGCAGCGCGCCCGCGCCCGGGTGGGGGAGGGGGCAGCTGTCAGAAGCCGCGTCGGCGGCCCCGAGACGCCGCGGCCGCCGCCGGATTTCTTTTTAAACTTGCAAGTGTCCGAGGGCGCGGCGGGCCGAGGGTCCCGGCCTCGGCCCCCGGGCCCAGCCCTCGCCCTCCACCTCGCCTCGGCGTGGCTCCCGCATACCTGGGGCTGCGCCGGCTCCCCGCCCCGCGTGCGGGCTGCTCTCCATCACTGCGGCGTCCCGGGGCTCTGCGGGTGCGGGGGTCTCAGCGGCGACGGCGGCGGCGGCCGGCGGCCAGGACCCGGGTCCCGCGGCGCATCACGCCCGGCCCGGCCCGGCCGGCAACGACTCGGAGCTGGGGTGGGGGTGGGGGTGGGGTCGCTCCGTGAAAGGTCGAAGCTGTGGGGTCGGCGGTGGCTGCGAAGCTCGGACGCGTCGGCTGCCCAGCGCCTGCGATTCGGGCCGCGATCGTGTTCCCTGCCCGGTGCCGGCCCGGTCCCGGCCGCGGCCCAACCCTATTGTACCGCCGGGGCCGGGGCTGGGCCTGGCCTCTCCAACGGCGCGTACCAAGTGCGGCGCGGGGAGGGTCGCCCCGCCGGGCCCCGCTGCCGCTCGGCGCCCGCCCCGCCCTGCAGCGCCGCCTCCCCGCCCGGGATGCCAGTGCGGCGGGCGCGGCGCAGGGGGCGCCCGGGGCCTGCGGGACGCTGGTCCAGTGGCACCCCCCCCAGGTCGCCGCGCGTTGGTACGCGCCGCAGCACGAGACGGCTATGTAGGGAGCGCTCAGTGACTCACCCGCCGCCTGGGTTGGGGGGAGTTGCAGGGGCGGGGTCCCGGGGGCGACCGGGTCTGAGAGTCCCCAAACCCACCCGAGCCGGAGGCTCCCGATTCTAGTGTCTCGGCATAACTTCAAGTCTCCATCTCCCCCAAACCCGTGTCAAGTAAAATCCGCCCAAGGAATGTGGGGAGCCGTGTCCCAAGGAGACCCCTAAGGCGACTAAGGCTTTCTCTCTGCGGGTGATGGCTGGGACGGGGGAAAAGTGGGGAGCTTTGCCGCTGCCCCCCCCCCTCCCCCCAGCATCCTCTGGTCGGTGTCTTGCCTGTTCCTCGGGTAATTACAGGCTTGCCCTGCTGCTTTACCCAGGTCTCTAATCTGCTAGATCCCAGTTCCAAACTGGGTGGTCCTGGTCTGGAACCTCCCCCTTTCTCATCAGACTACTCCTCCCATGTCTCCTGTGGCCCTTCCAAGGGTCCCTCTTGTGGACTTTTGACTCTCCCTTTCAGGCGCTGAACCCCAAGTAGCTCCACTTTGCAGCCCTCTAGAATGCATTCCCCAGGCCCCTCGTAAGTGCCAGGCGGTGGGGCTTTCAGCCAAGTCTGGGCAGGATCAGGGCGCGTGCTGGGAAGGTGGATCGATGCTGGTGCGGCAGCAGCAACCGAGGGGAGGAAGGAGGGGCCCTGGGCTCTGCCCACCAGTCCCTGCCCTTTGTCCTAACCCCCCCAAGGTCAGCTCTCTGTTCTCCATTGTCCAGAGATTAGGCCCAGGGCTATGCTGCCCTCCGAGCCCCCTTTCCCGCCTGTGTCTCCTTCCTTTGAGAGGCCCTAAGAGCAGCCGTTTCAAGGGCCGGGGGAGTGGAGGGCAGGGGAGACAAAAGGGTCGGGACTCTGGCCACCTGGGTGCAGTGTGTACCATGAGGCTTGAGAAACTGGGGGCCTGCGCAGTCTTGGGAGGGTCTGGAGAAGGACAGCTTTGCAGCCTAAAACTTAAGAAAGGTTGCTTGCGGAGAGAAAGCCTGAAACTGGAGCTGGAGCTAGTTCATTTTCTGAAAGGCCGAGCGCTCGCCTGTAAAATCAGGAGCATGGCCCAGTGGTAAAAGTTAAATAAGGCCGGGCAGCTGAGGTAGTTCACACAGAACTGGGCAGAATAGGAAGTGCCTAATAAAGGAGTCTGATGGTGGTGAGGCTTTGAGAGTAAAACTGAATTGGGAGGAGGAGCGGCTTTGTCGCCAGCCATCCCATCGTCAAAATACAGGGCCATGTGGATATTGGGGACTAGGGTTGTCCTTTGTGAGGTCAGAGGGCTCAGGGCCTCCATCCTCAAGAGCTGAAGCCACCCTCTCTCAGTCAAGCAGGGATTAGAATCAGGAGAGTTCACGAACAGAGGTCCAAGGGCAGAACCTCACCCGTCCTCACCCTCGATACTGAGAAAGCAGGAACAAAGACAGAGATGGAAAGACTGAGCTAGCGAGCTGCTTGTCTCTCCTACAATGGTGGCTAAAGGAGAAAAAGTTGGGCTAAGGAGAACCAGTGTAGAAGGATTTGATGCCTCAAGCTGGTATCATGATCGTTTTTTTGTTTTGTTTTTGTTTGTTTGTTTAGCTTTTTGGGTCACACCCAGCAATGCTCAGGGGTTACTCCTGGCTCTGCACTCAGGAATTACTCTTGTCGGTTCTTGGGGGACCATATGGGATGCCAGGGACTGAACTCGGGTTGACCACGTGCAAGGCAAAGGCACTACCCACTGTGCGATTGCCCCAGCCCCGGTATTATGATCTTGACCAGGGTTTCTCAAACTTGGTGTACCGCCTGCTTCTTGGGAGAAAAAAGATTGCTCAGTGTCCCCTTGAAAATCTATCTTCTTCTTTTTCTTTTTGCTTAAGGGCGCCACACTCGGCAATGCTCAGGGTTTACACTTGGATCTGTACCCAGGGATCCAAATGGGATGCACGGATCAAACTTGGGTCAGCCTCATGCAAGGCAAGCACCTTATCTGATGTACTATCTGGACCCAAGAAATCCACTTTCTTTAAGTGAACAAACAGAAAGCACCCCAACCCCAACTTGCACATGAGGTTACTACTACCCACATGGACATCCACTGCTCACTGGGTGTATATCACCCACTTTGGGAAAGACTTAAGATCTAGGCCATAGTGAAGGTTCTTCAGGAGGGTTAGGAAATCTGATGTCTCTCTCAGAAGTCAGTATGTGGTATGTGGCACATTAGTGGTTCTCAGTCAGAGGGAGGATTTTGTTGTTGTTGTTGTTGTTTGAGTTTGGGGGCCCACAGCCAGTGGTGTATGTGTGCTGGGGATCAAACTTAGAACTCCCACATATGAAGTATTTCTCCAGACCTTTGCACCATTTCCCCAGTCTAACCAGAGGCAATTTTGCCCCCATAGTTGCTGTCTGATACTAATAAAGGCACTTTGATGGACAAATTTAGAGTATTAATAGTGTCCAGTGCTGAGATTCTACATCTGTTTAACATCCTGCAATGAACAATCTATGACCCTGGAACAGTTTCCTCAGACCCAAATGCAAATGATGCCAAAGTTAAGGACTCCTTCCTAGACTGAGGGTGGGTGGCAGCATCTGATCTCCCTGGCAACATATGAGTTAGGCAGTTTGACGAAAAGTTTTCTCGACCTAGGATTGTTTTTGTTTTAGGGTCACATCTGGCGATGGTCAGGAGTTACTTCTGGTTCTGCACTCAGGATCATTCCTGGCAGTGCTCGGGGGACAAAATGGATGTTGAGGATCAAACCTGGGTCAGCCGTAAGTCAAATGTCCTAGCCACTGTGCTCTCTCTCTGGTCCCTAGGATGTTTTTGTTTTTGTGTTTTGCTGTTGGGGCTACACCCAGTGGCTCTCACCCTGGCTCTGCACTCAGGGATCAATCATTCCTGGTTGACTCAGGGAACCTCATGGATTGCTGGTGATAGAACCCAGGTCAGCCACATGCAAGGCAAGTGCCCTACCCAGTGTACTATGGCTCTGGCAACTTGACCCAGTATATTTCTGCAGAGCTTTTAGGCCTACTGAGTCTCTGTGAGGGAGTGAAGGGATCCCAGTCAGATCCTGGCAGCAGCAACGAAGAGGCTTTAACGTATGTGTGTCTTGGAGGAGAGTATGACAGTGCCTGGAGACTTCACATAGTCCCTCAAAGATTAGACATCAAGGAAAGGATCAAGTGGACACCTACAAAGTTGGGCTGAAGCCCCCCCAAGATGCCCAGAATCAATGAAATGACAGGCACTAGGGCTGTTGCCTCCCCTCTGCTCTCCTGCTCAGGACAGTCCCCGCCCCCCAGGCGGAAATGGGCCTGAAAAAGCCGTTAGTCTCACCACAAGGCCCGGCGGGGCCTAAGGAGCAGTACGTGTCCCCTTTTTGACCCTTTCCAAGAAGGGTGCACTCAGGAACCTTCACAACCTCTCCAGTTGGTGGGCTGGCGCCAAGAGGGATCTGCTGGAAAGGTGGAGGAAACCAATGGGAGATCTGACACAGAGATCTGAATCCTGACCAAGGCCCTGCTGGCCTCCACACCCAAGGAGTAGGAAGTAGGAGGGGCCTCCTCACCAGACACCAGGGAAAACCACACAGCAGATTCTCACTTTCAGTCTACCCCCCCAGGCACTGCAAGCTCAGAGGCCCTCAAGCTTAACTGGGCTATCCTGGGGAGACTATTTCCTGGGGCTGGACTGAGGGTTTCTGCAAGGGCTGGTAGTACCAGCTGCAGCAATGCTGCCCTCCATATAGATCCCTGGGAGTGGGACAAACAGGAACTGGAATGAGAGGGTCAGAGTCAGACTCTCCGGGTTCCTGAGAGAGGACCCTCATCTATGCTAGGAATGGGGAGCTGTCCCAGTTTCACTCTTTTTTAGGTTTGCATTACATACCCAGTAATCTTCAGGGTTCATTCTTAGGATGCTTGGCGGGAACAGAATGTGTGGTACCTGGCATTGAACCTGAACCCAGGTCTCCTGCAAGCAAAGCCTGGTGCCCTGTTTGCACCATCTGCATTCCCCTGCTGCATCCTTTCTTTGGAAGAGATGAGAATAGGGAGGGGCAGCCTGTTGTTCTCACTATCCTGCCTCCAGAGGTGGAAGAAGGGACTGGAATTTGGGGATAATGGGAACTATGGTGAGAGGGCTTGGAGCATGGTCTAAGGTTTTCTCTGGGCCAGGAGGACCCTTTCAAGCAGTTCTCGGTATGGCCCAAGGGCACCTGCTGTTATCTGGTGATACTTGACCAACCTGTGTGCTGGGGACCACCAGGGACACACAAGGTGCTTTTGGGGTGATACTGAAGGAATGGGGAGTGTGAGTGCCTCCAGGGCTACACGTGGTGTTCAGGCTGCCACATGGTACCAGGAGCAAGGTCTGTGTCTAACTCCTGTGCCCTCCTCCAGCCCAGAATGACATAGAGAGGGAACCTGTAGCTCAAGTTGAGATGGAACATACATACCCCACCCCCGAGCCCCCTTCAGTTCAAAATTAATGTCACAGTGTTTGGAGGAGGAGCCCTAAAGGAAAAGACGTCCCACAGAGGGATCCCAGGCAGAGAGGAAGCAGCCCATAGGGTGAGGCAGGAGAGGCTCTGCCTTCAGTCTCCGGCTTCAGAGCAGGCTGGGTGGGGTCTATGGCTGGCCATGACTGTGACTCAGGTTTCTGTGGGCAGCCAAGGGCAGGGAGGAGCCCAGACCGACAGACAGGCCAGCCAACTGCAGCTCTCACCTCAGCTGTCCTCTCTCCTGGGAACGCTAGAGGCTCTTCTCTGCCTGTGCTGGTCACCGGGGGCTTGCCCACCCCTGCTTTCCTCCCACACCTCCACCCCAATCTATCATGTTCCTCCCAGAATCCTCT